GTTTTTCAACTGCTTGCACACAGAATCTTTACTTGTCACACAGTTTCTGAAAGCTGACACTCAAACAGCAGAAGCACACACCAAATCTGCAAAACCATACACTAATTCTCAGCCTTTTCAGAAAACACTTTTTGCAAAACACAAAAATCTAAGAGGAAGTATCCTGATTTTCTTTTTCAAACACAACCAATCAAAATGCCACACTAATTCCTCACATGTGCAAACACTCATTGCTTTACTTAAAACCAACCAATCATGGCTTTAGAATAGACCTATAAATACACATCTACACAACTACACATGCTTGATGTATTTCTTTTCTTTTGTATTGTGTAATACTGTATTCACAACTGCACAGTCTTGTACAGAAAAGTACAAAGGAGCTCATGAAAGAAGAGGTTTTGGTTTTGAACAACTATGTGTATATGATTTTGTTGAGATGTAAAATGAAGGCATTTTGCATTTTGTGTGTGCAATTCTTGGATTTGTGTGTAAAGTTTTGAAAAAAAGAGGCCACGTTTTGAAAATGTGTGTAAGAAATATTCACTGAAGGATTCTTTGGGGAACCAGAAATGGTTCTTCTATGGCTTTGTTGTAAACACCTCCTCTGGAACCTTGTTAAGAGTGTACCTGCTGAAAAGTGTAGAAAAGTGTGAAAAACGTGTCAATCCAGAGTAAAGGTCCAGTTTAAGTGTTCAGTTGCATCTGCTGCAGATGTTTTTTGATGCTTAGTTTACATACTGGTGAAATTCTTAGAAAGTCTTCACTGGATTGATTGACTTTGTCTGACAGAGATGTGAGGTACGGAGATTTCCAGAACACGCAGTGACTGAAGCGTTATTGAGCGGAGGATTGGATTGAGGCGGATTGATCTAGAAGAATCGAAGATAGATTTTTAATTGAATTAGGGATTGACAGGCCTTCAGCGCGGCTCGAGAGAGGACACGCCTCTGCATTGATCTGCAGACTTACCAGCTTGAATCAAAAGTGTGTGCATTATTTTAGCTACTCTAGAGAGAGACATAAATACATGTGCCTGCATCAACAGATATTTGTTTTATTCTATGAAACATCCATGCTTGAGAAGGAGGAAGACGTCACTGTATGCGCTCACATCACCTGTGTAGATTAAAATAAAAGGTTTTTCCGTTTGCAACAATCTCCACTATTGCTTGCTTTTAATGTTACGGCCAAGGGATGAAAACACACTTCCATTTCCAGCGAGAGCAGAGCTGCCATGCGTGTCCACGTTATATATTTCTATTGCCGTGTGATCGTAGGAACCAGCATATAGATTTTTCCATATAAATGAGCAATGTAAATGTTTATTATTATTGCACTATTCCATATGCACTTTCCGCTTTCAATTATTCTGAAGAAACAGCTGGCACGAGTGGTGAACGTTTTTTTCTTGAGACGGAGTGGAATTACTTTGCTTTTTATAGTCACCAGCGAGCTGAAGAAGCTGGAGGTAGACAGGAGATTCTGTTTGTAGTTCAAATACTTCATATTAGAGTTGCAAACAAGATCCCTATGATGAGGCACATGCACAGTCCGTCCGATCCGAATGTTCAGTGGAGACGTCTTCACTCAGAGCTCTATTAGCATGCCTTTTGGAGCACTTGAACTGGTTTGGTGAAACAATGACCTTGATGGGTTGAGGAGAGGATGAGTTTTTAAATAAATAATCAGGCGTAGCGCTCCTGGCACAATAACTACCTGACACTCTGACAGCGATTGACAGGGACAGAGAGAATGCGTGAGTGCAGAGCCGCATTCATGTCGAGAGACGCCTGATTGCCACGCTCACTGTGTGTGAGTGTGTGTGTGTGTGTGTGTGAGAGTGTGAGTGTGAGTGTGAGTGTGTGTGTGTGTGTGTGTGTG